ATTTGCAGTATTAGCAAAGGCTAATATTAGGCAGAAGATAATTGCTCCAAGATCAGTTTAGACCACACGCTAATGAGTTATTTCAAGAATTTATTTTTTAGGATTAAAAATTAAATGAATTCTCGTTTAGAAATGAGAAGATTCTGGCCACTGCCTACTGCCTAGGTTCCTTTTACTTGTTATGCAACAGCATGATGTGTAGAATGGGTACTTTGGTCCTAAACCTGGGAGTCTCAGAAGCAATCTGAGAATTCTCTGTGGAGTATCTTTAAGGGATATGAAGTAGATAACAAGTCACCCCTCAGCCATTCTTTTCCTGAATGTCACATTTTCTTCATCTATAATCTATAATCTAGGAGCCTTGGTGGGACAGTGGTTGGCAGTTTGAAGCCACCAGCCTGCTCCAGGGAGAAAGATGTGGCAGTCTTAATTCCGTAAAGATTTACAGCCCTGGAAACCCTCTGGGGCAGATTTACTCTATCCTGTAGGGTTGCTATGAGTCAGAATTGACACAGTGGCAGTGGGTTTTGTTTGTTTGTTTGTTTTTTATAATCTTTTACTCAAATAGAATTGGACCCTAGAATTTCTAAGGGCCTTATTTTCTCTAATACACTGTGATTTTTAAAGGGTCTGGATTGTGACCCCTGGGATGTCTCCAGGTCTTGGTTTGTTACATTCCAACGACAACTGTTGTGAAGTTCCAGAATAGGACCATTTTATTTGTCACCAACTGACTCTTTCTCCATTTAATTGCTGTCCATGTAGCCTCCATGTAGTACACCAGAAAATGAAGTGTGAGGCCCATTCAAACAGTGGAACTCGATAACATATTGCCACATTTATCTCCAAGGAATAGAATACAGTCATTCTTCATAATTTACAAGCTTTAAGTACTCTATTTTTCTACAGTTGGTAAAAATTGATGGCTTTAAGTATCTGAAGAGAATAAAAATTAAGGTATTCATTAACATGCATTAATAGAAATCTACTGAAAACATAGCAATTGAGTAGTGCAAGAAAATGCTGAGCTTTTAGTCAACACCAACATCATACAGCCCAGAATCTCATTACATAACAAAATGTACAACCATGACCAAATTTTGTAGACAATTAGAATGACTTTACTAAAAAAATGTTGTCTTAGTTACCTAGTGCTGCTATAACAGAAATACCACAAGTGGATGGCTTTAACAAACAAAAATTTATTTTCTCACAGTTTAGGAGGCTAGAAATCCGAATTCAGGGTGCCAGTTCTAGGGGAAGGCTATCTCTGTCTGCTCTGGAAGAAGGTCCTTGTCTTTTTGAGCTTCTGCTCCTGGGAGATCTTCATGTGGCTTGGCATCTCTCTTCCTCCATCTCTGCTTGCTTAATCTGCTCATTTTATATTTTGTAAGAGATTGACTCAAGACACACCGTACACTAATCCTGCCTCATTAACATAACAAAGATAACCGATTCCCAAATGGGATTATAACTACAGGCACAGGGGATAGAATTTACAACACATATTTCTAGGGGACACAATTCATTCCTTAACAAATGTATACCCAGTTCATTTCATTAATGTCATTTGTTCAAAATTAATAATTTATAAGAAATAAAATAGTTCTTTGTTTCAATACCAATAGTATATAACGAATATGCAAGACAAAGAAATCCAATTAGTTGAGAGTGACATCTTTTTCACAAATGTTTCATCATGGAAACCATACTTAAGATATAATGCTGTGGAAGGATAAAAGCTTTTCAAGTCTAGTAGTCACTCTGAGGGAGAAATTAAATAATAGCAGGAAATTGCTGCATGCAAATTAAATTTAAGCAGCTCAAGATTATCTATGCTTTAGGAAAAGTATATCATTAGTTGTACTAACCATTCTACAAGAAGAATTATATTCAATCTTCTGTAATTTTTACTCAGAGATCTTGGACTTTCTGTCACTTGATGTAGCAGGAGCAGTAAAACAGGCATTAAAAGTAGCCTAGTATCTCCAGGTTTCACTTGGTTCAGAAAGATTGTTGAGCCTTCTCTTCTAATGCTGCTGGACTCCTTCATGGTCTATGACAGGCAAAGGGGGGGAATCTAAAGATGAAAATCTGGCATAACTTGGATTTCAGGCTCCTTTCGATCATGTGAATCACTCCAGCCCCAAGCTAAGCAAGGCTGAGGCTATCTTCTCCCAGAACTCAGAAAGACCTGAGTTAGGAGACACACAAATCTCCCTTACTAGGCTCTTGGGGGAAAAAAATGTCCCATACTGGAACACACAATTGGGGAGAGAGGAGAAATTGGTGATTTCACATGACAAAAACTAGCAATGTTTGTACTATGAAGGCAATAGAACCTTTCTGGTACCTACACTTAGTGAAATCTTTCGCAAACTTTAAAATAATTACTATAAAACCTAGATTCATAGGGAAATTATGATACTATGGTGAGTAAAGAAAGAAACCCCTCCATTACAACAATAATGTAAAATATACATTTGCATATAACATAGATAGAGAGATGCATAGAAAAATGAAATTTTTTTTGGAGATGGGATTATGGGAAAATTTTTTTGACTACATTAATGCTGCTATAATATTCTTTGTACAGTAATATTTTTTGACTCTTGTTGAAACATTGGTCAAAATGAACAGATTTTGTAAGGTTTTGTTTTTTTCTGCTTTCATTATTTAAAGTGGGGCTTCCACTACTTCACTTTTAGATTTGAGGACTAATGTGTCCTTAATGCTGTCATTTACTGAATAATCAAAAATATTACTTGCACAGAATGAAGTCTCAAAATCAAAGTTTGAAAGTAACAGGTTACTTTTATCTAGCTTGATGAAGTTTTATTTTGAAATTATACATCATTCAGACTTGATTCATATCAAGGGAAAACTGTGGTTCATATAGACAACTTATCCCAGCAGTGTCATTTAGAAGACCCCTGAGCACAGGTCATTTGCACATTGTGCAGGTCAGAACTTGTACATGAATGTCATTCCTGAAGACAACACTGTGTTTCTGACCAGAAGTTGTCAGAACAATCTGTTGAAAATAGAAACTTCCAGCTGATAAATTGGCCATTCAGTAACAGTTGCTGTTTGAATATAACCTACATCCTTATCAAGCTTCTATCCTGGAGTAAAATGTGCTGCCTCCAGGAGCACACTGGGAACAGGGCTCAAGTCCCCAGTGCAGCCTTCATGAGGAAGAGGAAATATGGCCTATTAGGGCCAGCCAAGGAGAGGATACTGCAAGAAGAGTGCCCACAGAGAAGATGAGTAGAGGGCTCTAAAGACACACATTTTGTTGACATCCCAATTTTGCTTCAGGCTATATCTTGAATGAATCCTTGAAGACAATAACAAGAGCGTTCTCATTGCTCGCTGTAAATGAGGTTGTCACTATCATTCTGTCTCCTGGGGATGTGGACACTATTACCGCACTGATTTGATGTTCACCTGCATAATGCAAGTAAGCGTTTCATTAAATTGTAAGCTCAAGAACCACATATCATTGTGAGATTAAACGGCAAAATAAGGCTCACCTCTTTCTTCAAGGAAAATTATATTCTTAAACCTAGACATGATTAAGGGGGAAAATAAACTTGGAAAGCATCAATAAATAGCAGCAGGCTTCTGTTTAAATTCTACATCTGGGAATTTTGATCCTGTTGAGGATAACACCATCATCCAGCCCCTCTCAAACTCTAGGCTTGGTAGGATGTTAATACAGTCTGTTTTTCAATACTGCTTCCCCCTATAGTCAGTGATGCTGTTAAGAAGCCTGATTTAAACAGGCTCTGTGGCAGGGCAAGAGAATTGATAACATCTGGCATTGTTGATAAAGTAGTCTTGTGGGCACAGAAAACCAGGAGTTCTTTGACTGGATTCTAAGACCTTTATGTTCAAATTATAAGTGATTGGAGATACTTCCTGAATAGTTTAGAGCTTTGTAGGTAAGACATAAATGTAATTCAAGTTTATTGTTAGAATCTTTGCTATGAAGCCATTTATGTTTTTCCTTCTGGTTATCTCAGTTGATATACAACTGAGGAAATTAAGGTCGTAAGTTAATTGCCTACATGGTCCTGTTCAAGGGAGTAAATCCACTGGTCCATTCCTAACATTCTTATACAATACAAATAAGATTAAAATGAGCATTAAGAACAGCCTTGAAATAGAAAATAAATTAAAAATGGGCAAACCACATTCAGAGAAAGCTAGAGGTAATACTGAAGTGTAGTTCAGGGTGGTGAGCTGGACTGTAGGAGGACAATCTCATCCCGTGTCTTGGTGATGGCAGAGCTTTAAGAGTTCCTAGTGTATCAGTGAAGCTAAGGTCTTGTTTTAAAACAAGCTGCCTCCTTGAGTCACTTGCTCATTTGTCAATTGCTTCCTCAAAATGCTTTCGTAGGCACAGGCATGGGTTGAGTCCAGGGCTAAGGACACAGCCACAAGCTGACCAAAAACAGATGGGACAAAAGCCCAGTCTCATTAATGGCGCATTTGCACCTTCTGCTCACCATCTTCTGTGCAGTGAGCAGAAACCAGGCCAAGGCAGCCAAAACATGATGCCAATTACCTCCAGAGCCTCTCGAAAGTTGAGAGACATTTGGGTCTCTGCCATTTTTTGAGAGTCTCAGTACATGTAAAAATGAAGAAATGCCTAAAAAGGGTTATAACAATTTTGGTACATTTTTAATGTTTACATTTAAATCATTGTTTTTAGAACACACAAAAAAGATAATTACAGGATTCATGAAACTACTAAGTGACAGCACACTATGAACAGTATGGTCCAGATTACAGGACACACGTTTGAAGGGGTCTCATGTCTTCTCTCACTTCTCTCAGTGTAATGTCAGACGTAATAGTCATGTTTACACTTGAGACTATTCCCACTGGGAGGCCTAGACCAGATGGCCCTCTTGGTCCACCTGTGAAGTGTACCATTTACCTTTCCCAAATATTCCTAATTGGACATTTTTCCTTAACCATAAACCTAGCACATCACCTGCTCCAACTTACCGTGATATTATAAAGGAGGCAAAAAAACAATTTGCAAAGAACCAAAAGGATTTTAGGATGTAAGTTGATGCCATATTATTGCTAAATATAAAAAAAAATAGACTTTTTTTACAGCTGGAAGTGATCATAGGAATCATCTAAACTAACCCCCTTATTTTACTGATGAGGAGTGTTGTTTCTGAGCATCTTATAGACTCTGAGATTCTTTTCAGGTAAGTGTCATGGGTGCCTGTTTTACCCACTGAGCCATGGCAAGTGTCAAGGATTGGAGAAAGGCAGGAAGCTTTGCTGTGGTGTGATTGGGGGGATGTACCCCAAGATGGACATGTCAAGAGTGAGCTCCAGGGAATAGAGATTAGAGTATTATTCATTTACAAAGATCAGTCCTGGAAGAAGAGCAGAAAGGTTTCCTGCCATAGAAGGAGTTCCTTGGAGCTGGGGTGGCATCTGGGGGTTGTACTGAGGAAAGAAAGGCAAGGAGGTCTATTCTAAACTGTTTTCCTGAGGAGACGTTTTCAGTTTTTTTGTGCTTTAATTTAAATGACTGCTCAGGGGCAGCCATGCTATTCTTATGTGCTAGGAAGCTGCTGCTGCTGTTCTTGTTGTTAGTTGCCACCAAGTTGATTCCGACTCACGGTGACCCCACATCTGCAGGGTAGAACTGCTCCATAGGGTTTTCAAAGCTGTGACCTTTTGGAAGCAGGTCACCAGGCCTGTCTTCCAAGGTCCCTGTGGATGGATTCGAACCACCAACCTTTTAGCCAGTAATCAAGCACTTCACGGTTTGCACCACCCAGGGACTTTGCTAGGAAGCTAGGAATGGGTTGATGACAGAATTCCATCAGTTTTTTAATAGAACAAATTGGCAGGGTTTAATGCTTTTGTCTGTGATATCAAGGTCACTGCCTAGAGATCTCATCACCTTGAGGGGTAGAAAATGTGGGCAACCTCCCTTTGGGTACCTGATGCTGTTCAGGAAACAGAGGTAAATGGAAGAGCAGCCAGCTAGGTCCTATGCAGCAGGCCAAGCAGGAGTGTGAGCCCTTGCTGTCCACTGGCTCCCACCTCCCATCACCCTGCACTTACACACACACACACATGCAAACACAGCCCTCACGTTTCCTATGCTTGGTGGGGAGAACAGGATGGACACCTTGCTGGAGGGCCCCTGTCGAAGCAGCAAGATGGCGTCCAGGCCATATTCAGCTGTCATGGGTGATGCCTTTGATGTTTCTAAGAAGGGATGTGCTGGGGGATTCCCCACACCAAGTAGTACATAGGGAGGGAACCCTGAAGAATTGCTTTGTAAAAAACTTCTACTGCCATGTAGAAATTGTTGATGAATTCTTTCACAATTAGGAATTCCTGCTTTTTATTTTAAAAATTAACTCCAAATTTTGATTTTATAGAGAAAAAAACAGAATTAATGAAGAAATAAAACTCCTAAGGCAGCAGCAGGAAAGAATTGACAAGGAGATTGATAGGTTTGTTTCTTATTGGACTTTGTAGAGCTAAAAAATACTTTTAACTGGACAAATTTGTTATATAAAACTACCATGGGTTTATTATGTAAAAATACATCAGTTTGATTGTCTGCAAAGAGGTTTTCTACTCAACAGTTCATCTGGAATAAAACTTTTACTTTCCTTATCCACAGAATCACCTACTTGATAATTTAATTAATTGTCAAACATTATCATCATCATCATCTCCTCTTACTCCTCCAGCCATAGGCCTTACACTCATGGCCTTTTAAAATAAACCCATAGCCATGTCCTGCCCTAGCTAAGACGTAAACTATAAAAAAACATCCTATTTAGCTGGTCTCTCTTGGGCAACTTCTTTGTTCCCCTTCTGCCCCTGCTGCTTCCCCTAAATATGCAAACATTCACACCCACAGAAGGAAGGAAAATTGGGCTCATTTTTGCTTGTTTTATAAACTACGGAGTATAAGGAAAAACTATAAAGTCACGAGACTAACCCACTTCTTCAAACACACCTACGCACACAAAAATGAGTATCAGATGAGTACAGCCCTTCAAACAAGCTCCCTTGTGGGAGTAAAACTTTGTGCTAGCCACGCTGCCATATTTCTGATTGCTGTTTTGAAACTTACAAAGCCAGTTTCCCAGTTACCTGAGAAAATCTAACCCATTAGTTTAGAATCTTATGTCAGTTTTCACCAAAAACCTTATCACTCAGCTTTCCTCTTCACAACACCTAAATTATAAGATCCAATTCCAAGTGAGTTTTACAAATTTCAAACTCCAAATCCACAAAAAACAGGATTTCTCTCACCAGTAAGGATATGCGGGAGAATATAGGACAATTCTCACAGCAAGTCTAAAGAAGCATTCAAAATTTTTTATGGATTGGCACATAGTTGGAGAAGGTGGATGGAAAAATATTCACTTGGATAAGTAAGTCTTGTTGCCTGTTAAATTTACAGGCTCAGTCCATAAGCTTCTATCAGTAATCTTAAAAAAAGAGATACCCATGGAGAGGGAAGGCAGTCAGAGGAGAGGGAGGGTAGATAGTGGTGATTGTTAGTCAACTTTGTGAATATACTAAAAACCACTGAATTATACACTTTAAAAGGCTAAAAATCATGGTATGCCACATATATCTCAATAAAGCTGTTATTTAATTTAAAAAAAGAAGGAGGACTGTAAATTAAAAGAGTGCCTTGGAAGATGGGCTTGATTTTAACAAAGTGAGATGAACCAGAGTCTAAGGATGACTTGCAACTCCAAGAGATTCTGAGAGGGTGCTACTGAGAAAGGGGACCATGGCTATTATGGAGTATGTCTAAGTAGGACTATGAGGAAAAGACCCAGACTTGAGGAGCCAGATTTGAGATAAGGAGAGGGGAAGAGATGTGAATCCCAAAAGGTAATAAGAACTGAGGAGAAAACCCAGGTTGAAGAAATAAAATTTGCAGAGATAAAATTTGCAAAGATAAAGCAGAAAATGAGTGAGGAGGCCTTTCTGAGTCATAGGGAACCAAGGCAGGAGACCTCTGAAACAATGTGGTCCAGTAGGAGTATCCTAGACTAAAGGTTGAAGAAATCTGGAGTAGGCCTTGCCAGGGGTTGGCTAATCCAGACTTTCCAAAGTGTACTTGGAATTTTCAGAAAGTTTACTTCTTACCAATTTCATGGAAGAAAAATAATTTTTAAATGTTTCACTTGAAAATTGCCAGTTTTAAGAATTGTGATCATCAATAGCCTTATGCCCTTTTTTCATTTTTCTTTCATCTGCCTTTCCCTTGTTAACTAACGCTCCTCCCTTGTTCCAAGTTCCTTTCCTTCCTTGCCTAGACTGCCTCGGCCCTGGATCTCTGGAAAGGTTCCTGATGCCTCCTGAATTCAACCAGTCAACGCATTCATAAATATTTCTTGAATGAGTACTTGGTGACAGAAACCATGCTGGCCTCCCGGCAGATATTAGGACGAATGAGACACAACCCTGCCCTCGATGAGCTTACAGTCTAGCAAGCACCCCTACCCTTCAGCCCTTTCATCTCCCTCTCTTTCTTCCCCATATCTTGCCCTTACCAGTCTCTTTTACTCTTCTTCCCGCACTGTCACTCCTTAAACTCCATGCCAGAGCCTGGTGAGTGGAATAGTTAAGGCAATTCTGCGTGAACCACGTCGCTGAAGAGAAAACCGCACTGCTGGGACACAGTGCACACAGTGGTTGGGACTGAGGGCTTGAGTCAGAATGCTGTAGTTTAAGTCCTCTGTTACTTATTAGCTGTATGACTGTGAGTAGGCTACTTACCCTATCTGAGCATGTCTCCTCATTTATGAAGTAGGATAATAATAGTACCTATGTTATAAGATTGTTGTGAGAGTGATTAATACATGTCAAGTGCTTGGCAAATGCCCAGCATATTAAATGCTTTGTAAATGTCAGTTATTAGATGATGTCAGTATAGTTTGGTAACCAATTTTCTTTATTCCATGATTAGACTCCAAGCAAAGGCTACGAAAAAACCTTTCGATGTTAAGTGTGACTTGGAGAAGTTCCTGAATAAACTGGTATGTTTCCTCTCTAAAAATAATTGAAAAGTCTCTCTAGCTTCTCTTATATAGACTGGACGATGCTTAATAAGCAATCTACGGTTTCACACCCAACCTACAGTAGCAGGACAGAATACAGTCTTGTTATTTACCCATCCACAGGCACATCTAAGACAATCATGTTTTGCACTTTAGTGACAACCTCATGCCCACTAATGCCCATTCCTTGCTTCTGGCCATGGGAAATATGCAACTGGAAACATCCAAATGCATTCAGAATTACAAACTAATACAAAAGTATGGTGCTTGAAGTCATATTTTATTTTCCTTTAATAATTCAACTAAAGTATATTGGACACCAACTACTACTGCATTAGATTAATGGTCTCTGCCCTCAATTAACTGAAACACAAGACAGAATGTGGTAAGGTTCTAAAACAGGACTCAAGTGTGAGAAAGAAAGAAAAATAAAGGGGGGTGTTTCATCTTTCCCACACCAGTTTTCCCTGTTCCTCCTATTATAGGCAATTCTGTTAAGTCTGAAGGGCCTTCTTCTCTTCCAGTAGACAAGAACATGTAAAGAACAGTGTACAATAAATCAGAAAATTGGACAATCTGAGGTCTGAAAGAAGAGAGAAACTTTGGCTTTCAGCATGTTAGGCTTCCACTTAAAAATCTAGAGCAATCCCCACTGGCTACTGTGTAATAGCAAAAACAAGGCTCCTACACGGATAAGGTAATAGAAAGGAGTGAAACACCTGGATGTTTAATAAAACAAATAGGACTATCTTTACTTCCACACACACAAAAAAAATTCTCCCCTTTTGGTTTTTGGTCTATCTTTCCTGCTCTTAATAGACACATGGGTATAGAGAAAGACTTACCTGCTATAAGAAAAACAACAGTGTCTAAGTGTGCTGGTAAATGACAACTGACCTCAGCTGGTAAATGGCTTCAGTATCAGGGAAAATAAAGAGTTGTGGCTGGACTGTGGCTGGAGACCTTGTGCCTCATTTAAACAAGGCAGCTACTGCCTGAGTTCATTGTTGCCAGTGCCAGTAGTCCAGATTTTTCTGTAAAATCTCCTGATTTGGACCTCAAGTGGGCCAAACTAAACACATCTGCAGACCAGATGTGGCCTATGGGCTGCCGATTTGCAACCCCTGGTCTAAATGCTGCCTGGATTTGGAGCTCTTCAAAAGCTGGCTCTAGCCAGTATAGACAATCTTATTCTTCACTACATACCAGTGCAAATGCTTCACTTCCACTGAGCCTTCTACGCACACCATGATTGCCTATACTTACATGTTTTGCTCATCTGCAATGCCTCCTCGTCTTTCAAATTCTCCTCAACCTTTAGGGCCCTGCTCAAGTTCCATCTTTAGCATAAAGCTTTTTTCCAATGGCCCCAGCCCGTATCTTTCCCAGACATTTTTGGTATCTCTCATAACTTCTAGAACATCACTTGGTAATGACTGGATTGAAAAATAGTTATTTCCTTCAGGCCAGAAATTGAAACAACCACAGAGTAGACCCTGGCTTACAATGACTGTGTCTGCCAAAGTAGAGTACTCCCACTTCATAAGGGCTGGAAATTTTTATCCATCAGACGAGGAACCACATGGTGAAAAATTAAATGGCACTTGCCTTTTTTTTTTTTAAACAGTGATCCGGGTATCTTTAAAGAATTATATACCTACTCCAAATCCCTTGTGAAAAAAGGCAAGATATTTAAAAAAAAAAAAAAAGATTATAAATTTGAATAAAATCAAGTTTTGGATTATTGGGTGAAAAGAATTCAAATTCTTTCAGCAAATTTGACTTAAGCTTTCTAACTATTTTGCTAAGAATAAAAATGCACCAGAAGTTTAAGAAAAGGATATTGGCTTTCCTAGTACTTTACGTGTGGCTGTTGCCCTTTGAGAAATATTACAAGAAAATTTACCCAGGCTTCTCTGAAACTGAGATTTTAGATGATAATGTCCAGTCTGAGTTGCACATTAACAAGAAAAAGCAACCATAGAATAATAGAAAATTGAGATAATTTTCTGGATAATTCATGCCATAAGACCACTGCTATCTCAATTATCTGAGTATTTCAGCAAAATGCTTTTTGGTCTGAATTTTCACATAATTCAGGAAGGGCTTCCTGTAGCCTATCCATGAGAGAAACCCATTCATTTACCACTACCACATGGCCAACCATTTCTGCTGACTTTCGATCCCAAGTGTCTTCTAAATATTCTAAACATTGGCAAACACTCATAGGCACCCACCAACACAACTAACCAATCCCAGAACCCACTTTAAAACCTTTTCATACTCACTGTCACCTGCATACCTACACATCTGCCCTACTCTGGTCCACCTATACAAACAAGCCTGGCTAGATATACACAAAAAAAATGCAAGGCATGGGTGGGGTTTCCTAGGACAGTCATTATGTTCCTCGGACTGGAGAGGCATTTGTGAAAATGTAAGGCATAGTAGGAAGTAAATTCCATGAGCAAATCAAATTATCTGAATTATCATCCAGACAATTCTCTATCTCAATGTGAATAGAGACAGAGATTAAGTGTCTCTTATATAAGTTTCTGTATTAAATGATGGAAAACTCAGGGCCAAAAGAATTGAAAGTGATTATTTATGTGATGGAGCCCTGGTGGCGCAGTGGTTAAAGCACTCAGCTGCTAACTGAAAGGTCAGTGGTTGGAACCCACCAGCCACTTTGAGGGAGAAAGATGTGGCAGTCTGCTTCTGTAAAGATTTACAGCCTTAGAAACCCTATGGGGCAGGGTCTACTCTGTCCTATAGGGGCGCTATGAGTTGGGCTCCATGGCAGTGGTTTTTTTTTTTTTTTTAATTTAGGTGATATCACATGATTTAAAAAAATCTTCTTATCTTAACTGGGGGAATCTTACATTCAAGTATATAATGTCTAGGAAAATCTGTGAATCCTTAATCATGTATTATTTTAATAGCATGAAGATCGGGTTGAGAGAGAATTTCTGGCATCATTATCATCATCATCATCAACAGAAGACTACAACTTTGAGGAAGAAGAATATCAACTGAAACAAGAAATACACGCTATTCAAGAATAATGCATACAATTCAATTTTGTCAATTTAATTGTAGCAGTGTATTTAATTCAAGTCCAATTCATGAGAAGAGGTCAGTATTGTTGTACTATTCATCTTCAAAAACCGTCAAATCAATAAATCTCAGTAAATCATCCTTAAAAGATCTGTCGAAGCATAATCTTGGCTTTTATTAGTAGAAAACATATTTTAAGATGGAAAAATAGTCATTACGAAGCATAGAGAGCTTTTAACCGTTTGTTTGGAAATACATCTTGATAATAGCAACCGTTCATCATAATACAAAACAGAAAGAGGATTAAATTACTGTGGCACAGGAAGTCCTGCCAGTTCTTAAATGCCCTAAATAGTTTCTCTGAGATGTTTTACATTGTTTAGGCCTCAAGGAAAACCAAAGCCCCGCCTCCAGGTTTTGTAGCAAACAAACTCTGCGTCCCGAGTGCTGAGCTTCGATCACTCCTCTGGTAATAAGCTTCCTGCACATTTGCTAGGAAGCTGGACAGCTTGTCAGCAGGTACTATTGACACCGTGCAGCCTCCCCATCCTGCTCCAGTAAGTCGGGACCCTTGAGCCCCAAACTTCCTAAAACAATGAGAAAAAACAAAATCAGAGCCTGTAAATGAAAATGAGAGTGCTTTGCCCTGTGCTTCTGGAACACAAAGCCTACCCAACTTCTGAGAAGGGAATAGGTGTTTTCTTCAGTGTTGTCAAATATTAGGGCATAAAGAAACTTATACTATTTCAGAAGGTGATTTTACAGTCAAATGTATCTAATGCTATTCCCTGGTTTGGGCTGCAAATACTAAGTTAGAGGCGCTCCCGTTTCACGAGGGCTGTAATGACCCACTTGTAGTCTTCAGTCCATGGCACAGCCCCTTGAAAAGTTGTGTAGCAAGCCTACAGGTGAATCAGGAAGAGACAGTAAAAAGAAAACAGGGAATGAACATGATCATCATTATGAATCAGAAGGTCACAACAAATGAGGGAAAATCAAAATTTAAAGTGCACATTCTTACACAAGTGAGGGCTTCCTTCTGTGGCTAGTACAGCTGTATTCTTAAGACTTGGCTATTTCACATAAAAGAATCAGTCCCCTAGAACAGCCTAAATTCATGCTGAACAAATTTATCTACAAAGAACATATCATTAGGCTTTAGGCTGGTTGGTTTGTTTAATCCCTAACGGAAAATTTTGAAAACCTTCCCACAAAGAGGATGGTGGCCCCACAGATTCATGCCCACGTTCCCTGTGTCCTCTGGAGCTGCTCTGACAACTGGACTCGGAATTTACCATCACATGAGATGTGTCTGATTGGGATGGAAACCATTATATAAACTACCACACAGCAAGAGGTAATTTTAGTCATCATCAACCAGGAGCAGTTACAAACCTAAGATCTCAACCAAAGTGAAAGGCCGTACACAAAGTATAAGGATCATTCATCTTTGAAAGATGCAATTTATCCTGACAACAAAATTTAACATCTACTTCAAATTCTTCCTAATAAAATTTACTCTAAATTAGTAGCAGATTAAAAACTCCAAAATTAATTTAGCTTAATTTTGTCCCTTTTTTCCATTTAAATGAGCTACTTTACTTCCTGGAGATTATCAAGGGACTATTACCCCTACCCTAGGACATAAAAATTATTGCACGCCAGTAATTCGTTTTTCCCCCAATGATTTTCTCAATTGATTACTTTTATCATGTTTTATTTATTAAAATATGCTTTTCAAATTAAAATAGATATTTAAGGAAGAAAACAAAAACTTTTTTAAAAAATTTTTTCCCAAACAAAAATTTATACATACATTCTTATGTGACTCTAATTGCTCTCCCCAGTGACAGCACACTCCTCCTTTCCACCCGATTCCCCATGTCCATTCAACGAGCTCCTAACCCTCTCTGCCTTCCCATCTCCCCTCCGGACAGAAGCTGCCCGTTTAGTCTCTTGTATCTACTTGAGCTAAAAGGCACACTCCTCATGAGTATCAATTTATGTCCCACAGTCCAGTCCAATCCCTGTCTGACGAGTTGGCCTCGGAAACTTTTAGTTCTGGGCTGGTACAGAATCCAGGGGCCATGCTTCCTGGGGTTCCTCCAGTCTCAGTAAGACCATTAAGTCTGGTCTTCTTACTAGAATTTGAGTTCTGCACCCCACCTTTCTCCTGCTCCATCCAGGACTCTCTGTTGTGCTTCCTGTCAGGGCGGTCATGGGTGGTAGCCAGGCACCATCTAGTTCTGGTCTCAGGCTGATGAAGTCTCTGGTGTATATGGCCCTTTCTGTCTCTTGGGCTAATACTTTCCTTGTGTCTTTGGTGTTCTTCATTCTCCTTTACTCCAGGTGGTTGGGAACAATTGATACATCTTAGATGGCCACTTGCAAACTTTTAAGACCCCAGACACCACTCACCAAAATGGGATGGGGAACATTTTCTTAATAAACTTTGTTATGGCAATTGACTTAGATGTCCCCTGAAAGCATGGACCCCAGATCCCTACACCTGCTACTCTGTCCCTCAAAGTGTTGGATTATATTCAGGAAACTTCTTAGCTTTGGTTTAGTCCAGTTGTGCTGACTTCCCCTGTAGTGTGTGCTGTCCTTCTGTTTACCTAAGATAATTCTTATTTACTATTTAGTTAGTAAATAACCCTCACCCTCCTTCCCGACCCTGGTAACCATCAAAAAATGTTTTCTTCCTTGTTTAAACCTTTTCTTGCGTTCTTATAATAGTGGTCTTATACAATATTTGTCCTTCTGTGACTGTCTAAATTCACTCAGCATAATGAACTACAGCTTCCTCCACGTTATGTTTCACGGCTTCATCATTGTTCTTTATCGTTGCATAGTATTCCATTGTGTGGATATACCATAATTTGTTTATCCATTCGTCCATTGATGGGCATCTAGCTTGTTTCCATCTTTTTGCTATTGTGAACAGTGCTGCAGTGAACATGGGTGTGCATATATCTATTCGTGTGATGGCTCTTATTTCTCTAGGATATATTCCAAGGAGCGGGATAGCTGGATCTTATGGTACTTCTGTTTCTAGCTTTTTAAGGAAGCGCGAAATAGACTTCCAAAATGGTTGTACCATTTTACATTCCCACCAACAGTGTATAAGTGTTGCAGTCTCTCCACAACTCTCCAGCATTTATTATTTTGTGTTTTTTGGATTAATGCTAGCCTTGTTGGGGTGAGATGATATCTCATTGTAGTTTTGATCTGCATTTCTCTAATG